GTAAAAAAATCGGTGTGAGTGAAGGCAATAAAGGTTCGGAGTGAATCCATTGAGAGAAACTCGTACTTGGTGCACTTGTATCAGAGTAAATGTCATCATTATTGAGTGAGTTTAAATGTATATTAATTTCGAGTAAATTGAATGGCGCCGTGAAGATGGGACCACTTACATATTGCTTCTGTAATCTCGACCACAGTTGCTCCAGAAAAGCGTGATCGCCAGGAGAACAGGCCTTAGCCGGCGGCGGCGGGTCTCAGTTGGTGCGTCTCACCCAGGACAGGGAAGGCCCCACGAAGTGAATTAATTTCAACGCTGTATATCCTAATTAATCATTTACGAGTGTTTTATTTTTGAACTCAATATTTAGTTAAATAAAAACCAAGTCTGAGTAAAAAATGACTCGATAATAGTTAAACTTAAATCATATTAGAGAAAAAGTCAACTCTAAATTGGTTTTATATACTCAGAATAGAGTCAGAAGTCGCTCAATTGATAGTTAGCAGTAACTCGGATTTGAGTAACACTCACTCGTTTCTGATGCAATAGCTTACTCAGTTGTACTCATACTAACAGAGTAAATTGATACGTTATTGAGTAAAATTGAGTGAAATTTGAGTGAATTTTTTTGCAGTGTATACCCGTTGCCTGGCGGTTTTAGAATCATATAATATGCATTACAAAAGTACTAATAAGATACCATCTAGTAAATTTTCACGTCAGTTCCCATCAGAGATACAATATCAAAGTTTGTCAATAGAGAATTTGTATCAGTTTTTGTTAAAAAAAATCGGTACGTCACTGGAACACTGGGACGCCTCCCGAGTCTATTTGGGGTATTTAATGGATATCACTGAATGTGTATACTTAATTTTACCGGAAGAATTAATTACTGCCTATGAAATTTGCACAAAACAATGAAAGGGTCATTTATAAATAGGAATTCGCTAATGGTGTACGCCACTTAGACCTATTTTGTGATTAATTACTCTCATATTATTGGAAATATGATGTCTATGGAATCCAGGTTATTGATTGATTACATTATCTCCACTGTCAGGATTTAGACAAAATATATCTGTATTACGTATTAGAATCGGGCGGACCAAAATTTGAATTCGCGTTACGTTTGTGTGCATGTGAGTGATTGTGGCTTTCGAATTGCCAATTAGCAATATATTTGGATTTCATCACAATTTTAATTTTTATGTACTTATGTAATTTACATTGGCATATTTGTTTTTATAAATTTATACATTATAAAGGTGAGAGTACACACATGTAATTAAACGCAAAACTAGTAACTGTGTAATTAATTATTATATAAAACATATACGTATAATAGATTAAATGTATAAATTCCGTTAATATCGAAAATAGGAAAATTTGTATATATATATATATATACTATGAAACGGAACATATTTTTTAAGAGTGTTTTATATTTCAGTATTTATCGATGTAAACGGATCTACAAATACAAACACGATAAATGTAAATTAATTAAATACGTACGTTATGTTTGGAACAAGATATAAATATAACTTTTTAACAAGTGGTTGTAAATATTCAACAGTACACGTATGTTTTTTACACTCCGCTGATTAAAGTGTAAAGGAGGAATTTTCGGTGTATATTGTTTAATCCATACGGATTAAATTCACTGGCAATGGAGTGGAAAAACGAACAAGTAGTATTAAAAAAGTTTTCGCGAGGATTAAAGGTGCCGTTTTATTTTCCGGGATGAAAGTGTCACCTTTAATCCCCTGGGATTAAACTTCTAATCCCTCGAATTAGAACAAGCGAACATATTTACGAAAACAATTTAAATTTTTACCATGGTAGACCACAGAATACAAAACAGTGTATACGACAGTGCTTTCATAAACGATTACAAGCCACGTGACCAGTCTTTTTGTTCGGAACGGTCCTTTTATTTCCTTCACGTTGGCAATTAAATTTCGGTAAAATTAAAACAATGACATCGAGATTATATTAAAACACAACATTCTGTTTCACCGGCTGTGATTGGTGTAGCTTTTCGCGACATTTTATTCACCCAATTAGCGATGGCGTTATCTCGAGCGTAGACGCAACGGTTTGACATTGTTCATTGTAAACGCACCATTAAGATTGTTTCGTAAGATTGTAAAAATATAGTGTATTAGGATTTTGTATTTGTCGCAAAGTAGCACAGGACTAAAGTGCATTTTTATTCTTCGGAAAACCTCATTATTGGGATTACAATATACACTTTAGTCTCGTAGAACATAAGATACCATTTCATCACTTTACGCTTTGTAGGTGTATGAATTTCAGTATTATGAGAGCAGTTTTATGATATCTTGTACACCCGTAGAGGGTAAATTTTTATTCCTTAGTATGTAATAAACATTCTGATGAGACATTACGGTAACATCAAATTTAACGAGTGTCACTCCCTGTTTTACTCTCCTAAAACGACAAGGCGCCTATCAGGGTAGTCAACGTAATTAGAACCGCATTTGAATATTTGACGCCTTAACAAGCTATCGAACGCTCTGGATTAAATTTAATTAATTAGACAGTTAGATCGTTTTATTAATAACCAAAATAATGAAAGCTTAAATTTAGTGCACGCCCATGTAACGTTTTAATTTAACACCACCAATTTAATTGAAAACAAAAATGTCAAACTCGCTAGGAGGTGATGGAAAAGAAGCGAGATATTCATGATTTAATTTCACTCGAATGTTTTCGAATGCAACTTCTTGATTACCGATAGCGTCGTGATCGAACTATTTTTATCATTTCCTTATTATTGCAATCTGTGCAATAATCCGAGAGAAAAATGTATTTATGCTGGCTCCAGAAATAGGAATATCAAAGCATCTATGAGTTCGACGTAAACTGATACGTAAATAAGACATTCATATTCTTATTTAGCAAAGTTAAACTTCACTTATTCAAACAAAATCGAAATTTATATTTACTTGACTGATATGTTATATTCTTTCTAAATAAAACGTAATAGGTGTAGGATTAATAGCTGTTGTGTGGATAGCAAACAAGTGTTAAATTTCTCACGAACTACTAGGTTATTATATTTTTTTGCAGATGTAATATTAAATCATGTATGTAGTAAACAGCTCTATATTTAGACCAACGTTACTTTACCCATACCTAAGCAAGGTAATACAATATTTCATTAACTAGTTTCCGAAATACGTTCACGTGTAAAGTCCGATCTTATACTTTTTTTAATGCAACATATAATTATTAAGAACATAGTGAAGGCTGATAGATTTTCGTCCCCATGAATATGCCATTTTATATTTAAATTCCACATTTTATATTCAAATATATAAAACTGTATTGATATGAAATAAAATCAAAGGTGAATTCAAATCAAATGATTTGAATCTTGTTAAAGTTTTATCATCAGATTCCAATTTGAAACAGCTACATCGCACCATTCGAATTTACTCAGGATGCCATTTGGCTTAAGAAATGCGCCAAAAACTACTTGAAGCAGAGAACAGCGTCACGTTTGTTTCTTGTCAAAAACTACTCATAATGCTCGGCTTCTTTAGCGAATTTATTTACTTGACTGATATATTATTTCTAAATAAAACGTAATACGTATAGGATTAATAGTTGTTGTGTGGGCAGCAAACAAGTCTTAAATTCCTCACCAACTACTAGATTATTATTTTTTGCAGATCTAATATTAAATCATGTATGTATATTTAGACGAGCGTTAATTTACCCATACCTAAGCAATGTAATGCAATATTTCATTAATTAGTTTCTAATTTAATTCTATTTCCGAAATACATTCACGTGGAAAGTCCGAATAGATCTTAAACTTTTTTAAATGCAACATATAATTACTACGAACGTAGTGAAAGCTGATAGATTTTCATCCCCATGAATGCTATCAGATTCAATTTAAAACGGCTACATCACACCATTCGAATTTACTCAGGATGCCATTTGGCTTAAGAAATGCGCCAAAAACTACTTGAAGCAGAGAACAGCGTCACGTTAGTTTCTTGTCAAAAACTACTCATAGTGCTCGGCTTCTTTGGCAAATTTATTTACTTAACTGATATCTTATATTATTTCTAAATAAAACGTAATACGTATAGGATTAATAGTTGTTGTGTGGATAGCAAACAAGTGTTAAATTCGTCACCAACTACTAACTAGATTATTATATTTTTATGCAGATGTAATATTAAATCATGTATGTATATTTAGACTACCGTTAATTTACCCATACCTAAGCAATGTAAACCAATATTTCATTAACTAGTTTCTAATTTAATCCTATTTCCGAAATATATTCACGTGAAAAATCCGAATAGATCGTATACTTTTTTTAATGCAACACATAATTACTACGAACGTAGTGAAGGCTGATAGATTTTCATCCCCATGAATATGCCATTTTATATATAAATTCCACATTTTATATTCGAATATATAAAACTGTTTTGATATGAAATAAAATCAAAGCTGAATTCAAATCAAATGATTTGAATCTTGTTAAAGTTTATCAGATTCCAACTTGAAACGGCTACATCACACCATTCGAATTTACTCAGGATGCCATTTGGCTTAAGAAATGCGCCAAAAACTAACTACTTTACGTGAAGCAGAGGACAGCGTCACGTTAGTTTCTTGTCAGAAACTACTCATAGTGCTCGGCTTCTTTAGCAAATGGGATCTCCTCTCCATTGAGCCGCGACTTTACCAACTTTGCAAAGCTCTTTTATTAATAAGGCAACTAATATTCCTCCGTGAAACTAGAATGTTCAATAATTAATGTCACAATTTTAACAGATAAGTTCGCTTTTTACATGTATTTCACTGCAATTAGAGGCTTAAAATCGGCCTGTATTCTGTTAATCAGAACAATAGCCAGGTGTCATAACATAGAGTCACAAACAGTTCAACTGTTAAATGTTTGAACTTTTTTCTTTTTAGAGAACACTATAAACAATTTTTCTTTGTTCCAGGAGATGGTAGAGATGATCAACCCTTCGTATCCGAAAAAACGTCCGGGTACGAGACGAACCTCTACCTGTACTCCGAGGAAATGGAGGACAGACCGCGAATATCGACCCTCATCAGCTCCCTGGCGAACTATTCCAACACTATCCCTCCTGCCTCCAACGACCCCGACGCTCGGCCTGCTGGGGGCGCCGCCAGGATGGGCACGCTCATAGGGGTATATCTCCCCTGCATCCAAAACATTTTCGGTGTCATTTTGTTTATTCGTTTGACCTGGGTCGTAGGCACAGCAGGCGTCATCCAGGGGTTCCTTATTGTTTTTTGCTGTTGTTGTGTGACCATGCTGACGGCCATATCTATGTCTGCCATCGCTACCAACGGTGTGGTACCTGGAGGTGGAAGCTATTTCATGATATCCCGGTCAATAGGGCCCGAATTTGGAGGGGCGGTGGGCATGTTGTTCTACACGGGCACCACCTTGGCTGGGGCTATGTACATCGTCGGAGCCGTAGAAATTGTCTTGGTAAGTGATTCCGTGTTAGTACTAACTTGGGAACTGTCACGATGGAAAATGTTAGTTTATATATTTGTGGTTTGTGAGTTACTAACCTCTTACTACTAATTGACAGCTTCGGGTTGAGCATTCGTTTACTGTACTTTCTTTATTTTCATTAGCTATTTCCAGTAAATAGTATGACAGAGGTACGTGTCAGAATTTTAAAATTTGGTATTTGTTTCTGTTAATTTACCTCCTAGTCAAACATCAAAAGGCAATGAAAGAGGAATAGTTATTTTTACAATTTGCATGATGTTTGTTTTTTGTGATAAGTAACGCGAGTTACACAAATAACAAACATATAGGCTAACAAAGGTGGTTGGTAATCTGTGAACTGGTACGGAACTTTTGTTGGCATGGAGGAAATGTTTTGCAGATGTACATGACGTCCAGTCTAACCTTATTTGGAGACATAGCCGACGAAGAAGTGAAATACAACAACTTTAGAGTCTACGGCACTGGACTCCTACTGGTGATGGGCACCATAGTGTTTGTGGGAGTAAAATTTGTCAACAAATTTGCCACAGTCGCTCTTGCATGTGTCATTTTCTCCATTTTGGCTGTGTACATTGGAATTTTTGTCAATATCAACGGCAATGATAAATTACAGTTAGTATAACATCAATGTAACAAACACGTACAGGAAATTTACAAGTTTGAACTTGACGTCAAAGACTTTTTGACCCAATTGTATGTTCACATAAATTTCCAGTACAAAAAGCATGACTGAGCATGTCTGATGCATGTAAGGGTTAGGGGTATAAGTATTTAGATAGATATAGTGCACAAATGCATTAAGTTAAAGTCTATGAATGTTAATAAATTGAAAATAAACCATTTCAACTTAGTGACGCGTTAAACTGCTTCAAATGACAGTTTTTTTCTTGAAATTCAAAACGTAATCTCAGTAATTTGTATGCATTGAGTTTAAGTAAATTATACGATGTGTAAGCTCTATAACGAGCTTCGGAAAGTATATTATTACAATTTGACATTAGAAGAGATGAATAGATAATTCGCCATTTAATGTGACTTTAACCTCCTAATGTATAGAGTTCCAAGCGTTCCATATTTGTCTATGTTCCAACGGCTCAAAGATAGACCCAACCCTCCAACCCATCATAAGTCATCCTTGTTCACTTGTCTGTAGATAATAATCCTAGATGTTATGCCCCATTGTTGTCTCTCAGCCATTGTATTAGTGGTATAATCACTTAATGAGATGAAGATCGAGCGTGAATACCTTGCATCTCGCGATATACGACTTCATCTCTAATGCCTTGGATTCTCATAAAATCTCTAAATATCTTACGAAAACTCTTAAATTGTCTCATGAATGTATCATTATTAATGTTTCCAAAAACGGATTTTTCAAATGAAGTCACATTAACAGAAAAATATTGCGGAATAATTAATGTAGAATTTGTAGAAATTTGCTTGAAAATAGATAGCGATGTCAAGTATTTTTGAACGTTTGAAGGGGTTGTATAGTATACAAAGTGGTCGGCATTCTGGGTAATGATAATTTTATTTGACTGTTAACCTGAAACAATAAGCCACTTGTGCCGGGACAACATAACATGATTTTCCCTCTTCTCTCGTACTAGAATGCTCGGAATTGACACTAATTAGTTTGGGAGTTTGTCTGTATGATGTTTAAAGCTAAACTATATTATGAAGTTGACTTCTATTGTTCATCTAGATGAATTTTCTACGTTATTATACAAATTGATGTGCACTAGATAATCAACTGCATTCGCTTTATGTGTATTAATTGTAAATTATTTCACAAACGTCCATTTCATTCCATTTCGACTCATCAGAGATCAAATCCAGTAGAGTACAGTACATTATGTTTTTGATTCACATTCGAGATGAAATGTTATAGAAATATTACGTGATTGCAGCATGTGTTTACTTGGCAATAGAGTACTAAAAATGGACAATATAAGTAACTGCAACAAAGACCCGTCAGGGGTACTGCACAAAATGTTTTGTCCAACTGGAAATGAGAGTTGTGATCCTTATTATTATAAACATGATGTCTCGATCGACAGAGGTATTAAAGGACTTTCTTCCGGAGTATTATTTGGTAAGCCTTGACTGCAAGCTGTCCTTAGCTACTACAAAGCACATATTTTTCAGATAATATTTACGACAGTTTCCTGGAACAAGGTCAATTTATTGCTAGAGGAAGAGAACCAGCTGACACTGAACCATTAGGAGACGATACCTTTAACCAAATTTTTGCCGACATTACAACGAGTTTTACAATACTTATTGGTATATTCTTCCCTTCAGTAACAGGCATAATGGCTGGTTCTAACAGGTCAGGCGACCTTGCTGACGCTCAAAGATCTATCCCCATAGGAACTATTTGTGCTATTCTAACTACCTCCACGGTATATCTGTCCTCAGTTCTGTTATTTGCAGGAACCGTTGACAACCTGCTACTTAGGGATAAGTAAGTATTTTAATCATCAATGAAACCAGTTTCGCTAATCAAAAACGCGTTTTAGATTCGGTTCTTCAATAGGAGGGAAACTAGTGGTAGCAAACATAGCCTGGCCCAATCAGTGGGTGATACTGATAGGTTCCTTTTTATCGACTCTTGGTGCTGGTTTGCAATCTTTGACCGGAGCCCCTCGTCTGCTCCAAGCTATCGCGAAGGATGGAATAATTCCATTTTTAGCTCCATTTGCAGTGTCTTCAAGCAGGGGTGAACCAACAAGAGCCTTAATTCTCACACTGTTAATCTGTCAATGTGGTATTTTACTTGGAAATGTCGACGTATTGGCACCTCTACTTTCTATGTTCTTTTTAATGTGTTATGGATTCGTTAACCTTGCATGCGCACTACAAACACTACTGAGAACTCCAAACTGGAGACCAAGATTCAAGTATTACCATTGGTCTCTGTCTTTCATTGGTTTGTCGCTGTGTATAGCTGTTATGTTCATGACCTCATGGTATCTAGCTTTGTTGGCTATGGCAATGGCAGGGATTATTTACAAGTACATCGAATACAGAGGGTAAGATCAAATAACTCGATATTTTTCAAACTCTAAGCAACTACATTTTAGCGCTGAAAAGGAATGGGGTGATGGAATCAGAGGATTGGCGTTGTCTGCTGCTAGGTATTCATTGCTACGTTTGGAGGAAGGGCCACCTCATACTAAGAATTGGAGACCCCAGATTCTTATTCTAGTTAAACTGACATCCGATTTGTTGCCAAAGTACAGAAAACTATTTTCATTTGCAGCTCAGCTCAAAGCTGGTCTGTATTTTGATTTTTTTCTTATTTTCCAACCACTAATAACCGTATATTTTAGGAAAGGGTTTGACTATATGTTCCTCGGTAATAGGTGGTGAATATACTCGCTCTTGTGGCGAGGCAATGGCAGCAAAGCAAAGCTTGAGCAAAACAATGGAAGAGGAAAGGGTTAAAGGATTTGCTGATGTTCTAGTTGCTCGAGACATTACTGAGGGTCTTTCTAACTTGTAAGATTATTTATCTTCCAACCGATCTGTGTTTAACGTAGAACATTTTAGAGTGCAAACGGCTGGTTTGGGTGGTCTCAAACCAAATACAGTGATATTGGGATGGCCGTATGGTTGGAGACAGTCTGAAGATGATCGCACCTGGCAAGTATTCTTAGAAACCGTAAGAAATGTCACTGCGGCTCGTATGGCTTTACTGGTTCCTAAAGGCATAAACTTCTTTCCGGATTCTGGAGATAAAGTTGTTGGAAATATCGATATTTGGTGGATAGTACACGATGGAGGATTGCTCATGCTATTGCCTTTCTTACTAAAACAACATAGAACTTGGAAGAATTGCAAAATGCGCATTTTTACGGTGGCTCAAATGGAGGATAATTCTATACAGATGAAGAAAGACCTTAAGACGTTCCTATATCATCTAAGAATCGAAGCTGAAGTAGAAGTAGTAGAAATGGTTCGTATAAAAATTAAAACTGCCTTGTTAAATACGGTAAATATCGATCGACTTTAACGTTGTAGATGGATCACGATATATCGGCTTACACTTATGAAAGAACTTTGATGATGGAGCAGCGTAACCAGATGTTGCGAGAACTTCGCTTAAACAAGAAAGAAAGTTTAGGAGTGGTAAGTTTGCTAATACGATTTAACGAGAGTTTACCGTTAATACTACATAATTAATTTAAATTATCTTTGACACGCAAGGTTCAGACTTTGGTGGATTTCAATGAATTATCGACAGAAGAGAAACTCCCATTGGTAAAGCTGAATCGCAGTTTGCTAGATTCATGGTTTATTAATTTTTGCACGGTTTTATTCTGTTACCATTCTTCCCCTCATTTTAAACCTCTCTTATTAGGAATCCATCAACATCATTCTTTTATGCTTTATTGCCCGTAATATTTTGAGTTGATATTTTTAGGTACAGTCAATTGTAGATCAACATCATCCAGACGCTAAAATAGCGACTAAAGTGCGTTTTCAGGAACCTGGATCCGGTGGCGATAACAAAACGGCTGAGGGAGAAGAACCTACAAATGAGGTAAAATGATTGTACAATTATCTACGTTTTAACTAATTTTTATGTATACGAACAGTTACAGCCTAACCCAGAAACGAAAGACGACTGTGAAAATTCGACTAAAGAAAAGGAAGACTCATCGGAAAAAGAAAAGGAGTGTACAAATGAACACAACTCTAATTCTGTTTCAGAGGAAAACAATAAACCCGTAACAAAAACCCCGTAAGTAAGGACTTAACAAATTACCTACAGATAGAAAGACAGAATTTTAAAACAGCCAATATGTCTAGTATATAGTAACTAATTGAATGAGATAGAAATTAGTACACAAATGGAGTGAGCAGCAAGAGACAACTATGGTATAAAGTCCGATGATGTTGGATACTGTTCCATTTTTTAGTTGTATAAATGTATGATACAATTGGTAGCTAGTAAGTTGTTTATCCAAATTTTGAACAAAATAACATTAACATAAAAAATCTTAAATTTCGACAATTACAAAAACTTAAACAACCCATAAACATAAGTAATTTGCACACTGAAGTAATGGCTTCGCCACAAGTTACTACCGACCTTATTTAACGGTAGACGTAACATATTTTTAAAAGTAGTCTTCACCGGGCAATGTCTTATTATACAAATATTTATAACGCTGTAACTATAAAAGATATTTATGATATCCTGTGGATGATATTACGCATTTTTTTTTACAGTGACGAAGGAAATGTTCGTCGTATGCATACCGCAGTAAGGCTGAATGAAGTGATAGTGAATCGTTCTCACGACGCTCAACTAGTCATTTTGAATTTACCCGGCCCTCCCAAAGACACCAAAATGGAAAAAGAGTCAAATTGTAAGTAGAATTTATCGCTGTAGTCGATTATCACAGATGAATCCAGGATCATTTCCATTCAATCCAGTCCAATCAACGAAACTGTTAATAAATTAAGCAGAATACGATCGATCGAATTGTGCGGATGGTAAACAAAGGGTGTTATTTTCAGATATGGAATTTTTAGAGGTGCTCACCGAAGGCTTGGAGCGAGTGCTGATGGTGCGTGGCGGAGGTCAGGAGGTCATCACCATTTATTCTTAATTTTATTGTGACACCAAAAATTGCGACATCAGATGCCGCAGTTTGCCAAAAAGCATAAAAATAATCAAAGAACATTTGCTACATGAAATGACGATGGCGTAACAGTATTTTAGAATGTTAAAACAAATGAAAATAGTGATTATACCAAAGAGATACTTATTTATTCTTCTTAATGTTATAGATTGTATTTGGCCGGATGGGCATGAAATGCTCATGTAGGCTTCGTGATTCTTTAACCTATATAATACTGTATCAATCAAAATGTTGGTTACGAAAAGTGCTCATTTTTCTACGAAAGAATGGCGGCTGGCGAGGCCAGTAATGACGTGCAGTGTTATGATAGGGCGTAGCATAAGAAGTAGAGTAGATAATTCTGCTAACACTATCGAGTGTATTTCATGTAGTTCTGTTACATCATAAATTTCCTGCGAAAAACTTAATTTACAACTCTCTCAGTGGATTCATACGTAGAGGTTATCATTTTTTATTCAATAAACATGAAGGCGGTGCATGAATTGCCTATACACTATTCTAAATGCTTTCGTATTTTCGGTTTCGTTGACCCATCTTGGTGCAAGTTTACAAGGAACTAATATTTCAATTCCTATAAGTCGTAAAGCAGCCGTTCTTATTATTTTCTGTTAGATGGTAATAACATGCGTTCTCTCGATAACTATTTAACTATATTAGGAAAAAAAGATTTTGAGCAATATTATCTTAATAATAATTACTGTATTAAATGTCAAATTACGAGTGATAAAACTGTATTTGCTGGACTACTTTGGTAACATGTCTTAAAATGCAGTAATTTGTAGATGTTAGCATTTTTTATTCCACATTCCAAATTTTTCGGAAACATTTCCCGTTCCCCAACTTCACGTCTACACATTTTTGCAGAATATCCAACATGTTGCGAAGAATACTTTTTTTAAATAAGTACAATCCTTACTTATCGGCGGAGGGTGCGGTATGACACAATCTTCAACATATTTTCGCGAGCTATGACCAACTGATCGCTTACTATGGTAGGGAGCGGCTAAGGATGGTCCAAACGTACAAACTTTTAAAATATTGAATTTTATCTGATAAATTCATTGCCATTTTGGACCATGTCCGCAACACTTGACGTATTTACTATTTATTCATAAGGATAAGGTAGATTAACTGATTTGTCAAACAAATATCATACTGTATAATATGTGCTTTATTTATATGTTACATGGTTTGTTATTTATTGTTGATATATTTGTTATCCATAGGAATGTAGGAGTTTAGTGCAGGACGTTAAATTTTGTTGATTTAGTTGTTAGCTCCCAAAGATGAGGTAGTTCCAATATTCAAACAAAAATATTATGACAAATGAAACCCAACATAAACACATTTTAAGTCACATCTCACACATCACAAGAGGTCTTTCCCATGTTTACCAAATATGAGTTGTTCCTGTATTTTCTTAAACTTTAAACAAACTAGAAGAAATTTATTAATTGAATACATTATATTTTCAGGTACTTAAAAGTTATATATTTTGACAAATGTTGGAAAGTATATTTTTATATTTCGTGTAGGCATATGGGAGGGCCTATTTTCCTTATGTTCCGAAAAAGAGTCGCTCCGTTGTTATAAAAATGTGGCTACCCGCCGTCTACACTATACTATACTATCTCGTGCAACAGCGCAAGTGTAGGGATAAATAGTGCACTAGTGATCTCAACTAGCCTTAAAGGTACCTTAAAATATTAAATTCTATTTATTTATATTAAAGTATCACTAACGTAGCTAGTGCCCAGATTACGCCATTGTACATCAACTTATTATGACTGTTGGTGCAAATCTTAATGGCGTCTAGCGTTTCGAAGTCTGTTGCCTCCGTCAGTACTTTAGTCGCGGATCGAGTTCATCGATGAAACTAACAGGAATGACACTAATATTTAGGGTTTTCATTTGCCACGGCCCCATATTTTTTACATGGACTGATTTTTAAAGGAAGAAGAAATAAATCGACTAGCTTTCCCTTGACCAAAATTCTTTTTGTGAAAAATTTTGCTTTTTTTTAGAAAAATTACGTGCATAAATACATGAGGAATATGATGATCTTGAAATGTGCCAAACTATCGGTTAACTCGTAGTTCTCGATCCAAATTTTAACATCTATTCATGTTTTTCAACTTTTATTTCTCTGTATGTCTGTAACCTTAAATAACATTGTAAATGGCGCAATCTGTTCTTTATTATTATTATTGACAATGTGTTCATTGGATAAAACATGAAATAAAATTATGAATAGTACGTAGATATATTGTTCTTTTTTACCATAACCTTATTATTTTTATTTTTCAGGTACGGTAATAAAAATAAATATTCGGGGATAAATAGTACCCCTTACATCATTTAAATCGCATTATATGTAAATAGTTTCAGTAATAAAGACCTTACAGACATTAAAATTATTTTTAAAATCGAAATTATTTTGAAAGTTATGTTATTTACCTTTCAATCAAGATTTTACATTTTGGAAACATTGTCTGTGAGGACACCTTTCATTATTCGAGGTCAAGGCTCGAGTTATTGATTTTACACTTCAACAAAGAATGAGGTGCAAAATCAATCCACTTTGTCTTTTCCTCAACTTTTAAACTTCGCCGATGTTTTATATATTCAAATGTAAATAGCATTCAATACAAGTTTATAACAATGGAACATTTGGTAAATAAAATTGCTGTTATCTACTTTAATGTGTTGATAAAAATGTTATTAAAATATATGGCACAAGGCAACTTGTAAAACAGAGAAATGTATTAGCAGTTGCCTATCTAATACCTGGAAGAACACAAAAGATAAAAATTATATCAGAGCCTTTTGTGTTTTTGTAATTAAACAACTATGTTTTTACTAATGCACTAACTGAGATGAATGAACCATATAAAATAAACATCAGAAAAGAAATAGAGTCGTATAATTTAATTCTCGATCATTCTCATTATTGTATTTAATATCTAATCATTCACTAATATTCTGAGTAAAAAAATAAGAATCAGCAATTTACATTAAAAAGGTAATCTTTAAACGACTATCTCAAGTGCAAAAGATGTGATAACTTCAGTTAGCAATATGCAGGTAAGTACTGAAAACAAATACGACTTAGAACAAAAACGTGAGTGAGAGTTTAAAGAAATATGTACAGAATAACAAGAAAGTTTAGTTCAGTAAAATTACTATACATCATTAAAAAAAGTATCAGAAGTTCCCTAATTACAATACAGTTATTACAGTTGATTGTAAAAATTGGGAATTTTGTGTTTGAATGAACTAATACGTAAGCTACTTGCAAGTAGATGGGGCTGTCCATATTTTAAGAACTAACAGTAGAAATCTGTACAGTCACTAGTTTATTTGTAGTTTACTTTATTGTTTCAGTCAGAAAATGTTATGAGGGGCCCAATAAATTATCCCGTTGCAAGTCAGTTTACAAAAACCAGCTAGTTCATAAATTGCATATAAAATAAAACGATACACGACATGTGAATTTATTTAAAAATGCTGCATTATTATGACAAAATGAAGGTAGTTGCAGAAACAGGAACTGAATTAACAATTTAGGTAGAAAAACGTATGGCAAAACACATTGTATATGTCTTCTTTGCGCCATTTTGATTTTACGACATTAATGTTTGAAGAATCGACATTATTTATAAAGTAAGTAATTGTAAGTAATTAATACTATCTGCTAAAAGCTCATTTAGATTTGAAAACTGTTAATGCATCTTCCGTGCATCTATAAAAATTCAGTAAATAATAATAATTTTATTAGTTTTATAATTTTTTGAATGCAGAACGTATTTAATTTTGCGGACGATTCACGAACTACATTATGGATTAAGAGAGTTTCCAAATTTTTCCTATTCTACGAAAGATGGCGCTGCTTTTCCCAATTCTCCATTATCTAAAGTGTTTCTGTTTTTTGTACATGAATGAAAAACTGGTCGTTTGTGCTTCTGCATATTAAGTTCGTGGACTCCAGCTCACTCGTTTGCATCGAAGTGTACGTATATTTATCGACGCCAGTAACTTACTTGGTTTTTCTGCGGGCCTTATTTTTTTCGCTACCGACAGAGGGACTAACACCTGTGGTGTCCGCGCAGGTATATATCGCGGTAAAGTGTGATCCAAGTGCGGGAAGAGGCTAAAAACAACGCGGCAGCATCTCTTGGCCGGCCGGTACAGGCATCTTTGAATCTATTATGGCTGCTACCAGTGTTGTAGTTTTAGATAGAGGAAATAATACCACTTGCACTATCAACTTACATGGCAAGTCCAAACGTTCATAAAAATTTTTATACTTTTATTCACCATTCCCTCAACCATGACTTTTTAAACTGACGCATACTTTCATAAAAAATAAACATAACCTATAAAAACATTTTTCATGTTTTTAAATTTCAGGTGCCACTGTGGTTTCCTGGCGAGTGAATAATCAGGAACAATTGTTTGTGAGGTAAAACTAATTCATATAAAGTAGTTGAACTATTGCATGCACAAATGAACATGACCAGTAAAAAAAAATAAAAAAACTCACTTTATTACTTTCTTGTAGAGTATTATTTTTAACTTCACTTTTAAGTGAAATATTGTTATTTTTTTTTAAAACTGGCTTTAGTTTTAATAAGTAATTCTCGTTCAAGTTTTAAATATTATGAAAGACAATATATGTAATTATAAATACATTGAAAATATAAAACAGTAGAAATTAAATCAATCAATTCAAATATAAAAAAAAAATTGTTTGGTTGAAGGTGCCTAAAAATAAATGGAACAAAAAAATTAGACAATTAAAATGAAATGGAAACAATGTTTCATGTTTTATTTTTCATTTTTCATTTTTAGCAAACAAGCTGTTTTTGACGGTAAAAAGGCCATAAGAGGTGGAATACCTTTTGTTTTTCGTAAGTATTTAAAAAAAGTTTTGAGTTCGAATAATTAACTGTACTTTAACATTCAGCACAATTTGGACCATGGACTTTTGGTCCACAACACGGTTTTGCCAGAATTGTGCGATGGAACTTAGAAAAGGCACCTGAAAGATTAGCAAGCGGTGATGTGGAAGCAATATTTTCCATGATGGACACAGATTTTACCTGTTCCATGTGGAATTACCAGTAAGTATGACTAGAAGGCCATATTTTCAAAGAAAAGAAAATACTACTACTATACTGTAAAAAATATTTAGCTTTCAAATTAGTTATAAAAAATTCTGTGAAATGGCAAAATAAATTTATTGAGTGATGTTATTAAATATTATAGGAAAGTGCTGGCCAAAAAATACCCATTTTCATAATTAATTACTCATAAGTGGAGGGGGGAAGGGGGGGGTGGGTAATGTCTTCAGATGCACACACACATTGGTACTTCTGACATAATCAATTGTTTTAATACTTAAATATTGCCGAAGTATTGCTAATAGTACTTACTATTACTTAAGCTTGTACACCATAATATTTTTGCAATTATGAACTATTTAGTGGTATTGCTAAAATAGTTTTTCACTTGCTATACAGGGTGATTCACAACTTATCCAAAAAAATTTGGGAATAGATGCGCCATGAGAAATGGAGTCAATATCGTAAAAAAAATTTTGTAAAATCCTTATAGTTTCCGAGAAAAAAAATATTGAAGTTATGGTACATTCAACCACTACATAGCTGGACAACTGTAGTCTCTAGCGTCATTCGTAATACGTGTGGAGAGCCACGTGGCTTCAGCGACTCCGAATACTGAAATCAGATTTTGCAATCGTCGTTGCGATAGTATTTACCTGTGGTGTTTACAATAGTTTCTAAGTAGTTATTGCCAAAAATGTTTTGCATGTATAGCAATTCGAAGTTGATGGATATCGTTTTAATTTATGGTGAAGCATTTGTGTTATGATGAAGCAAGACAACATTTGTGTTAGTTCGTAGAAACTGAGTAAGACGGACCCAAATGTGTTTATACGTTGGTGGATAAAATTTTGAACAATTGTTGTTGTAACATCGGGTATGTCAAATGATTTTATTATTTAGAACACAAATTAATTTTATTAATTAATAAAAGCAATTTGCCGATATAAAATAGGTGCGATAAAATTCTATTTACATATTTCTTTCCTTGCGAAAGTTTTTGTCCGCTTTTATTACACCCCATGCTGGTCACATTGTGCGACGTTAGGTTTTACAGTGGACCAGTTTCCAGTGCTGTGCAGAAGTGTATTTTTAAATCATTTTCGAACTGCCCTTTTTGATTTTTTCTTTACAAAACTGTATTTGTAAGGGTCCCCTGTACATCCATAATTTTTTTTGGATAAGTTCTGAATCACCCTGTATATTTAATTATATTTTTCAGTTTATTTGAATGTTAATTATATTTTAAAGAGTAGGATTAATTCAAATTTCTTGAATCGCTATTTTCTAGGTTTCGACTGACTTATAGACTGATTCTTCGTGAAAAAGAACTGCATTTTAATATAGCCGTATACAACCCAAGCAAGGAGCTTACGTTCAGCTTTAACATGCTTTTGCACACATACTTTAAGGTGCCTGATGTCCGTCGTTGTCAAATTACTGGGCTGCAGGGCTGCACTTTCATAGATAAGACAAGAGACGGAACTGTCTACCAGGAGGTAGGTATAATCCTTATCGTGCTATAATAAAACTGTATGAATTGCATATTATCATTTTTTTCCCATGTAATATAATGTATTGTGAAGGATAAGCTCTTTTATTATCTTAGAGTATAAAATATTAAGTTATAATATTTTCTTTAAACACTGTAACAAAATTTTTTTGTTATTGAACAAAAGTATCAAAATATGGGAATATTCTTTCTGGAACGAAAATTTAAAATACTTAAATTATATCAGACGAGTAAATTTTGCTGCCACTCACAAAATCAAAATATATTTGTATTTTTTTATGTTATTTTCTCTTAGACCAGAGACGTCGTGACAATAGGAGAATGGACAGACAGGATCTATCAAAACACGCCTCAGGAACACATAATAACAAATGTGGTGTCGGGTAGAAAGATGCGTATCCAGAAATACAATTTCCCCGACACTGTTATCTGGAATCCCTGGATCGAGCAAGCTAAGGAAATGTCGGATTTTGGAGACGACGAGTATCCTAACATGGTATGTGTTGAGGCGGGGCACGTTTCAAGCCCAGTGATTCTGGTGCCTGGTACCGCTTTCGAGGCTAGCCAGATATTGCAGGTCATGTGAAGAGTGTTAACAATATTTAACGCCCGTCCGCAAACTGCAATTGGTTTAAATCTTGTATTGATACGAGTGATATTATGTGTTGGTAATTAATTCCAGAGCAATGCATTTTGGTTTGTTTAGTGGGTTAGTTGGTAGTACTAGAGATTGTATGAATTAAGTTAGAATACATTTAAATGCTTCCTTTTTATACATCATGGCGTATGTAGAGACTGTACCGTTAACGTTAGCAACACAAAATATAACTGAAATGTATTTATGCAAGATACATGTTTTTATAAAAAAAAGCAATAGTTTAGAATAATCACTCTACTATAAGGAATGTGTTGTGGTTGATCCACCGTTCTACATTCCCCGAGAAATCTAGCCTTATGTCGTATACGACTGGTAGTACTATGATAAGTCCTATGTTCTCATCGTGCAATAGTAAATGATGTTTTCATGAAGTTATACTTTTGATAGCTAACTTATTGTTAGGGCCGCTTTAAACTTTAAATAAATTATTATCATATAGATTTTTGTTTCATTTTTCGAAGATTTTCCTCTAAAAATTATATATCCAAAATATTTGTTACTGAAAATATTGTTTTTCTTAATGCTTCTATTTAGTTTGTTGAGTAAAATCTAGCAGCAATAATCTGCAAAACAAAGTTTTTTAATTAAAAATTAACCTGTGTTTTTGTGAACTCTAAAAAGATTCCTTTTAAATCATTTTTTGGTAACTAAAAATATATAATAGATTTTATTTTTATTGGTTTTCAAATAAATTTTAATCGGATTTCTAACCTATCCTATCTAACCTAAAATTGGGTTTTTATTTAATTCCAGTGGAATTTAATGAACCACCTTGTATATACCTACCTGCTACATTACATCTTGTATGTCTGGAGTATTCACATTTTTTAATTGTTAGGCAACCAACTTTACAAAAGGCTTGGACAGATGGTTCAAAACGTTCAAAAAAATTAAGAAAGCTACAAAGTGAAAAGAAGAATACTCAGTTGAATGTTAATATGCTTTTGACCACAAAGTAAATATGGGAGAGGGAAGGACACTCCGGCAGCTTTGTTTAGCACGGGTTGGGTAAATGTCGTAAGGTATTACAAGAGCGAGATTTAGACGAAACTTTCGACTAATGGAGCAGGATCCAAATTTTAAGCATAAACACATTTTTTACTGTACCCAGAAGACCAATATTTTTTCAAAAATTATTTAAGACTACTACATATTTTGTTATCTCAGTTCGATACAAATCATTACTTCTTTATACGAACTAAAATAAATAATATCTGAAAATAACTATCGATCTGGTCATTTAAAAATCGGTAATTTACCTTAAAATGAAACATGTGAAATGTGATCAATTATCTATCGGTCATTAATTTTCAAACATTATGTTATTACTCATATCTAAACATATAAGTCCCTTATTTGGAAAATTTGAAAGCAACTCCTTAAAAAAGAAAAATAATTATTAACCACCATAAACAGCGATTTTAAAGGATATTTTTCGACTTTAGTCATTTTTGTAAGCGACTGCAATTATTAAAAATAACTATTGTCCTCGAATAACTTATGGGGAAATCTATTTCAGTACCATATAAGCTTGTTTTAAAACAACCCAACGCTTTGTCGGTCCCATAATCATGAGGTAGGTATTTTCGTCCAGTGGTTCCCAGAAGGCTAATTCAATTTCAAGCGAATATTTGTCTACCTCTAGTCTAGACTCCGCCTTGTATATACAAAGGAATGACTAACCTTATAGAAGGCCGAAACAGCAAATTTATTTTTTATATATTTCGAGGATCAGTAGCGGAAATTTCAAAATGTTATCGAAGTGTGTAAAACTTTTTCAATGCGCGTTGTGGTTTGTGTCTACAGTTATGTACTCTAAGGTATTTACTGGAACTATTAATTTTAATAATTTTTTATTAGTGGTACGCACCTGTATACTTAAGAGATTACCATACCTCATGAATATAATAATTCTTACAAATATTTTAGTTACACGGTCTAAAATTTCGAAAACGTTCTTGTTTTATCTACACAAAAACATGTTAATAGGTTTGCTTAAGGGCGGTGGAATCAGTATAAACAAATATTGGCGTAACGGAGGTTCTTTATGCTTGGCTTAGGACCACCTTTGGTTTATACCTTCGGCGCGGCGGCTTCCTGGAATTCCTGGATTGTAAAAGTTTATGTAGTGAGAATGTTAATGTTTATCAACTAGCGAGGTATAATTTCACGTCGAACATTTTCGAACACACCGAGTCTGTGGGCGCCAGAAATGTAATTTATTTAAAAAACATATGTTAAGTACAGTATTAGTGCTTATAATTTGTTACAGGTATTAAATTATATATTTTATTATTACCTCTTGCTGTTACTTACCGTTACATTAAAAGTATTAAGCTTATTCAATAAGCGCTAAAATTATTTTAAAATTCCTCAAATGAAATCATATACTTACAATGGAAACTGGGAAACAGTAACATCGCGACAGACGTGAGGCAAAGTGAGGCGCGACATCCTTGCGGTGATGAGCTTGCTACACAGGTCCGTCCGGTACCGTTGCGGTACCGCACATCCAACCTGTACTGTATTTTTCACTGTTTTTACTGCTTTATAAAATAATTGTAACATAAAAACCTTTTTTACGCCTGTAATTTTGTTTTCTTATTCTTACTAGATGCTAGTACCATAGGTACCAACAAAGTGTTGCAAACAAAAAAATCTCGATTAATATTGTATTTAAAAATAGGTAATCATTTTTTCTTTTTTGATGATGGAATTTTAAAATCAATCGTTAAGACATCTTCGCCTTTTAATGAACAAAGCACATGTAAAATATTGGGAATGCCGAACTCTGAACTTAGTACCTGCGCGGTTCTGAGAAAACCAAAACGGTATTTACCAAGTGCGCATGAGCACATTGTGTTAGAACTCGTTAAAGGGTGAACCAAAACAATGTTGAACATTACAACAAAGCCAAATGCATCATTTAATATCGTTGCTTTTTTTTATTTAAAATTTAGCTTTGTGCGTCTTACCGTTTCGGAAAATTCAATGGTGTGTAATTACAGTTTCCGAAATTTCAATGGTGCGTAACCTGAGTAAATCAGGCTGTATACTCCTACCAAATGTACACTAAAAAAACAATTCCATAAACAAATTAGTGAATGATCTAAAAATCCAAATAGAAACATTGAAGAAATACATACCACTCAACGTTGCCAGACGTCCCGATTTTTAACCCAAAATTAAATGTCCCGCGCGGGACAGGCTCAGTCCCGTTTTTCCCGCACTTGATTTGTTTTTTTTTAGGCATCAATTATTTCCTCCAAGTCTGTTTATCTGACATCGATTTCTTTGAAAACAATTTGTTTCCCAGATATCCTGAGACTTTTTTTTAGGCATCAATTATACAAATGCGTCATGTCCCGTTTTTGGACGAAAGAATCCCGCTTTTTTATTCAAAAAGTTTCAAAATCCCGCTTTACCCGAAAAAAAATCTGGCAACGCTGATACCACCTGACATTGGAATAATAAAGCCGCTGTATAAAATCAATAAAATTTTTTTAGAACATAATAATTTTGTATTTTCTTTATTTCTCACAAAACAAATTTTTGTTTATTTCGATATCTGTCAAAATTGAAGAGTAAAACTTTTTCCAAGAACAATAGACCTTTTTAGTAGTGACGTAACATACGCCAAATAATAGGCAACCTCATAGTACACATTGTCATGAAGAATTTCTCAGTATTTTTACTAGATGGATGTTCGACCTTATGTACTTTAGACATAAGTGCCAAAAAAATGTCTTCTTTGTCATGACCTTAAATATCGCGATATTCGGGAAATGTTAGAAATATTTAAGAAGTTTCACACCCCAAGTGACAAACTAAAAGAATTATAGAATTTGTATTTTTAAATTGATTGAACAATATTGACTTTTATAGTAATAAAAAAATTTAAATTATATCAATGTTACTGAGCATGCGCATTAAATATAATTTATCGCTGCGCAACTTTTTTGAATTTAAAATGAATCTAGCTTTGTGCGTCTTACCCTTTCCGAAATTTCAATGGTGTGTAACCTGAGTAAATCAGGCTGCCTATTCCTACCAAATGTACACTAAAAAAACAATTCTATAAACAAATTAGTGAATGATCTAAAAATCTAAATAAACATTGAAAAAATACATACCACCTGACATATGGGAATAATTAAGCCAGTATAAAATACATATTTTACTTCCAATCTCCAATCGTTTCAAAAATTCATGCGGCTATAAAATCAATAAAAATTTTTTAGAACATAATTTTATATATTTTTTATTTCTCACAAAACAAATTTTTGTTTATTTCGATATTTGTCAAAATTGAAGAGTAAAACTTTTTCCAAGAACAATAGACCTGTTTAGTAGTGACGTAGCATACGCCAAATAACAGGCAACCTCGTAGTACACATTGTCATGAAGAATTTCTCAGTATTTTTACTAGATGGATTTTCTACTTTAGACATAAGTGCCAAAAAAATGTCTTCTTTGTCATGACCTTAAATATCGCAATATTCGGGCAATGTTAGAAATATTTAAGAAGTTCTAAACCCCAAATGACAAATTAATAGAATTATAGAATTTATATATTAAATTTATAGAACAATATTGACTTTTATAATAATTAATAAATTAAAATTATATCAATGTTACTGAGCATGCGCATTAAAGATAATTTCATGTAAGCGAAGTAGCCTCGTAACACGATACCATTCAAGAAAAGTTTGGTTCTGGTTAAGAGTAAGTCTATAATAAAACACTTGAAGAACAAAAACACTCGATAAACAGACTGACACAGTAGAGCACCAAGAAAAACAATAAAACTTGGTAGAACTAGAAAATGCCAAAATTAAACAAAAACAGAGAAGACACGTTAATGATGATAGCGATGATATATCAATATGATCTCACCTGCGTATGAGGCTATTCTTCCCGAGCATGCGCATTAGGAACAACACGGCTAATGTTAAATGTTTACTTTATTTAAATTTAAAAATATTCCTTTATATCGTTTTTTGTAAGTTTTAAGCACATTAGTGTATCTATTTTACGAAACACGTGTTGGCTGTTCTTAAATACTTCTAAATTTTTGTAAAAATAAATTAATTTGAAATTCTCCATTTCTATAGTAGCACAATATTAAAAAATTTCAGGATCTATACGGTGTTAAAATAGTATAAATGTCAGAGACATTAGACCGTAACTCTCAAATTAAATACACGCATGCGCTGTGACAAAAGTTTAAACAACTTCTGATTAAATTTTAGATAGTCACAGTAAAAAGCATATTTTCCGCATTCTAACGAAAATACTCGGCGGAAAAGCTAATATAAGGAAAATTAACACAGCATGAGTTATTATACATATTAACTGTATTTAGGAAATATTTTTTGATATATGATTTATTGGACTGTGGTTACAACCGAAGATAACAAGTACGTACTAATTGACATAGCATGGGTTAAATGCTGAACTACGACCAGGCAATTTATTGCAGGTGGGTATCCGTATGATATGGTTTGATGTCTACCCACGCTCTGCTGCGGAGTATCGCGCAAGCCGTCAGCAAACGGACATAGACGTCCTTCAATAGTCTGGTGGCACCAATTGGAAATAATTGTCCACCGTCTTGAACATTTTTTAGATATCACAGCCATGACATTTTCGTATCGATTTAAAGTCTAAGTATATTAAATACAGACGGACGGCAATGAGGGTTAACCGTTTGACCTGCTTTTATAAACATTGTCAGGGGATGGCGAGTTGATTGGATAACCGCAAACGTGGCATCTGGGGATCGGATATCACTGCGTGAGAAAGGTTTTTCGAAAGGAAAATTCAGTGACATAGTTTTTAGACAGATAAAGCAGTATAAATGTGGTAGTGCTAAAAAGTTTAAAATCAAACGGTAACTATTCCCTATATCGTTCGATTTCTTCATTGTTTGATCTAATGCGCTCATTTTTTTATAATCAAAATAATATAATTTAAAATTTCTTGTTAATCATTGTATTAATTTCTTTGCTTTAACACAAGGGGTTTACGAAAAGTTACTGCGGGTGCTCATATTACTATATTTGTCCTTGTTATATTGTCTTTATGATTTTAAAGAAATAATGCTATGTCTAGATCACTATGAGTTAGTTTTCGTAAACCCCTGTATAGCTACATATTGTAGGCAATGTTGTACAACCTTCGCGGTAATTCGAAATTTATTATTTTTTATTTATTTTTTATCCCTTAACATTTTTTTTTGCTACACTACTACTGACAATCATCATATTGTGTCCAATCTAATTTGTGTCCAACAATCCGTAATCTTCCGTTGTACACGTACTTACGGGACACTCTGTATAAAACATCTACACTTGTCTTCGAGTGTTCTACCGTCATCTAAATTTTTATATGTCAATTCCCTATTGTTTTTTTGCAATACGTGAAGTAAATTATATGGGTATTTGCATACATCGAATTTATAACGCACATTCATAAAAAGTAGCTTGACTAACCTGAGATATATACGTACGTCTTTACATTCATAATTTGGTATTGGTGTAAGTTTTATATAGACCAGACGGCAACCAAAGGTTATATTAATTTAACACTATTTCGGTAAGTAATATATTTTTACAAGCACGTTCTCAATGAGTCGAATTTTAAACTATGACAGGTCAGATTGGACGAATATCAGATGTATTTCTATAACGACTATATTTTAGATTGTCAAAGTTTTTTTCGTAAATAGTTTTATACAGATGTCTAATAAACGCCACGCAATAAACCCACGTATCTGTTTTTTTATGAGTGAATTAATGATGTTAAAAAAAATATGTACTACCCATGTTGAAACCGTTTCCGCCCCCAACCGGTCCGCCAGGCGAGCCGTCCCTGGAACAGCCCTCACGTGGGTTCGCGTTCAGATTGGTAATGTCGAGCGAAATTTTTAGCAATATGACAGCTGTTCTCAACGCTATTTCCCCATGGTGGTGTTGTGACTGCCTCACTTTTTTAGGTTCGACGCCACCGTCTTATCGAGGGTTACGTTGAATAGGTTGTCGATGTGTCAGTGAGGCTTCCGGCGAAGAAGGACACGGACCACCACCTCGGATATCGTAAGTTTCTGGATCTCTACCCCTACCGGTGAGTTTGAAATGACAGCTCTATTTTCACCCGCTTCTTTATTTTTTTGATGGCAAAAAATGCTTCATCTTTTATTGTCCCACTAAAAGGAAATAGATAGATTTAATAATGAATTACAAGTAACGTCTCTTAAAGCATTTGTTATATTTTACTTGTTTAAATTTATAACACGTTCGATATTCATATCGTACATTGCTAAGAATATTCACGTACTATAATAAAAAAACTATTAATTATAAACCGCAAATAATATTTTTATAGAATAATAAAACATATTTTTTAATAATTTAATTAAAAGTGCATAACGACTTTTTCATTTCATTCCTATAAAATTGAAATAACATTTCGGGCGAAGATTAAAAGCTTTTATGATTGTACGAGGTTATAATTATGTTACCAGACAGCGGATGAATATATTTAAAGTATTAATCATAAGTGAATATTGATTCTGTAACAACAAATAATTTTATCTTTCATCAAGACAGACTGATTAATAAATAACAATTAATATTTTATTCTAAATAATTTAATGATTTACTGCCATCCATGGTGAAATAGAAATGAAAAGGTACATTTAACTTAGGGATATTGATCCAGAGCCCATCTGAATATTAAATTTTCTATAAACTGTAACTTAAACGCTTTATTTGTATTAATAAAGGACGTAGGTATACAATTTCCTTGTTATTGTTGCTTTCAAGGATTTGTTTGAAATTACCAAGTATTATACTGGTAGTTTTATAATATACTAAACAAAAAAAGTGACACAGCTAGGGTGTAGAATATACCTATCGCAATCACTAATAATCTGCGTAAAAAATGAATTAGAAAGGAAATATATATATTAGATCAGATCCGTAACTACATTAAATCTATGGTCGTTATTAAAAAGTATTAAATAAATTCGACAATTTTTTTACGTCAGTTAACCGGCAGGAATGTAAAATCTAGTTATAGGACACTGCTTCAGCTATACAAGCGTATTTTGTTTCAAAACTAATTGAAAAGACACATTGTTTATTTGTGGCATAGTTTGTTTTTTTTTTCTTTATTTTTTGTCACCTGCGAAAAAATTTTAAAATTAATAAAATAAACCCCTACACTGAGAAAAACAGATAAATACAAAAGGTAAAAAGCACACTGTGTCTTAAAATGACGGAACAAAATTCATTTTTTTCCAGTTCAGATTTAAAAAAATTGCTGAAACAGGTCAATTAATAAATAGAAATTGCCACTTTTCTGCAAAAAAATTGTCTTTTATGTCTACTGACGACTATTTCAAATAATCATAGTCTCTTCTGTACTTTAAAAAACGTACATACTCTTTATTAACCTTTTTCTACTTACTTTAAAGTTTTTTTTCTCAAAAAAAAAACACATCGATAAACACATAAAATTCACCAAAGTACGTAGGTAGGTATAGCGTGAATCGTTTTAGTTCCAATTCATTCGTCGTTAAATTATTTTGAAAAATGGTTGCCCTCAGCCAACTTCAACTTATCGAAGTGCTCAGTTCACAGAACTCTGAAGTCTCAAAAGTTGCATCCTTACAAAGTTAACGTCTTGCAAGAACTATGGGCAGATGACACAGACAGAAGATTACAGTTTTGCGAGGAAATTAGAAATTTATTTGAAAGACAAACCAACTTAAAAAAATCACATAATTTTCACTGATAAAACAACTTTTTTCCTAAACGGAACCGTGAACAGGCAAAATACTAGCTTTTGGAACCCAGAAAATCCGCATTGGATGCAAAAAAAAACATACATGGCCGGGAAAAGTGAATGTTTGGGCTGGAATAGTAGGAAATCGCATACTGGAATTAATTTTTCCAAACCCTAATGAGCACGATATGCCTGCTGGTGATGTCTGGTTCCACATTTTCGCCACGATGTAAGAAATTACCTTAATGAAATTTTCCCAAATTCGATGGATAGGCAGAAGAGGGCCGCTTGAATGGCCACCACGCTCTCCTGACTTAACCCCACTAGATTTTTTTGTGGGGTTATCTAAAAAGCAAAGTGTATGTGAACTGACCAGACACTATCGAAAGATTGAAAAATTATATCGGAGAAGAAATTCGAAATATAAAGGCGGTTTTCCACTAAACAGACAAAACACAAACTTGTGTCGAATAAAACAGAACTGTAACTTTTCGCAAACTTTTTGAAGACTGGCGTGTTTTGCGACTAGGGTTTCTGATTTCTCGGCCTATTTTTTTTCTCGGGTCTCGAGAATTCTCGACTAGGAATTCCCGGGAATTCTCGAATTCTCGAGAAATTTTTAAAACTTAAAAAAGTTATAATTTTGGTATTGCAATGCGAAATATAAACATGCTATTATACTTAACAATCATTATTAACATTTATTATTTATTCAGTATTTTTATTAATTACTTATGTTTCTACTTCTACTAACAAAACTAAATTAAACTTTGAGTTTCTTCTTAAAAACCTTTAACTTGTTTTTTTATTAAACACTCAATATACTTATGTTTATTTCAATGTTTTTGAATCGTAGTTTTCTTTCAATAATAATTATTAATAATCATTAATCATGCAATCTTTTAATTAAATAAATAGTAAATAAGGAATTTACTTAAAAAAAAACAAGCTTTCATTTAAAGATACAAAAGCGTTCTTCCTATTAATTTATTACTTCAACATTAGGAATCTGCTTATAATAAAATTTCTACACAGACTTATAACTAGGTATGTACATTAAAAAAAAGAATCATCAAAGTAAAATAAGGCCTTAAAAACTTAAAATAAATAAATCATGAGCTGGTAGAGAAACCACTTTAACCGCTCAGTTATTTGTCGAGCAACGAATTGAACGCATGAACGAAACCAACTCCAGTCAAGAACTCGACACTTTTTTCTCGTCTCGAGTAAGGCCAGATTTCCCGGGAATTCTCGCTTCGAGAAGTCTCGACCAGAAGCCCTATTTGCGACAGTTGGAGTTTTGTTTTTCGGGTCCCGCTTCAAAAAAGCGGTTTTCCACTAAACGGACAAAACAAAAACAAAATACAAACTTGTGTCGAATAAAACAAAACTGTAACTTTTCGCAAACTTTTTGAAGACTGGCGTGTTTTGCGACAGTTGGAGTTTTATTTTTCGGGTCCCGCTCGAAAGCGGTCACATCAAAAGGTTTCGACGTGTTTTGAAACTCGAGTCTGTTTAGTGGAAACGGTCGTGTTGTGTTTTCTATTTAAGTAATCCAACCCAATATCTATGTCGGCGTTTTCTTCTTTCCAAAAACAATATTTTAATCATTCATGAATTATAGCTATTAAAAAATATATTTGTGTACGGTTAAGGTTACTTGGCTAGTATACAAACTAACTAACTAACCAAGTAAATACTTCAAACGTACATATATACACTTACTTTTTTTCCAAGGACTTCAGTATAAACCAACTATAACTAAGAATAAAAAAATCTTCTCTAAACATGTTGGTTGGTTATTGGAAAAATGTGTTCTGACTTCTTCGCGACAACCAGTGGAAAAGGACTGAAAACAAAAACAAAACTCGAACAAAATGTAGTCCGCTTGATGGAAACAAGAGTTTTGGGTTTGTTTCAGTTTTGTTTTTTTGTTTTTCAGGTTCTAGAAAACACAAACAGAACATAAACTCAACTGTCCGTTTAGTGGAAAACCGCCATAACACCAAATGTTATTCAAAACGTAATTGATAACTTTGAACACCGAATTGAGCATTGTGCAATGGTTAATGGGGGCCACTTTGAACATTTGCTGTAATAAAATAAAAAGTAATACTAAATTATTATTTTCATTTAATTCCTCCATTTTTTGACAACTATGACAAAAAAGTAATTCGTTTTTAGAAGGGCTATGTATACTAGTGATGCAACGAATGCCAGTTTTTAAGCATTCGCGAATGCGAATGCGAACATCTGTTGTTGACATTCGCGAATGCGAATACGAATATTCAGTTTTTAAATCTAGCGCCGTTTATCTATGATTCAAAATATGCCGCGCGTGACGCACATAATATTTCCGGTGACAGCGGCGCTAGAGGTTAAAGAAATTAGCGTTGTTAAGTTGGTAGAACGGTATTTTTGTATGATTGGAATTTTGTTTTGTTTTCGCTACCGGCTCAGATGAGTTTGTGAATTGTGAGGTTAGACTGTTGTTAGTTATTTCTTAATATGAGTAAATCAACTTCTAGTGAAATATCGACTTATTTGCCTAATATTGTTTTCACATTCTGTATTTTTCTTTCACGTTCATATTCGCAAAATATTCAAAGATATTTGCGAATGCGAATATCATAAATCAAACGAATATTCGCGAATGCGAATGCGGATATTCGTTACATCACTAATCTATTAAAAAAAATGTCTGTCTGTCAAACATGGTTCAAAAAAATAGAAAATATTGTAGAAAAGTCACAATTTCTATTTACTGATAGACCTGTTTCAGCGATTTTTTTAAATTTCAGCTGGAAAAAAGTATGAACTTTGTTCCATCATTTTGGTACACAGTGTTCAAAAATCAGTTTTCGTCTTTTAATTTTTTTTTTCACGGTATTACCTATTTTCCTTCCCCTAAATTTTGGTCGAACCCTATTGAATTATATGATCAAATTCTTTTTTTTTTTTAGTGTAATCGTTATACTCAATTTCAAGGTAGCCTGAAATAACCAAAATTAAATATTAATAAATAAAATGTTCTTATTGTAATTTAGTGGCGTTCAATTTGCGATTAATATTGACATGTTCCTTCAAACCTCGCCTTTGGAATTAAAAAGACGTTCTTACAGAACGTCTGTAAAAGCACAATACAATATCCTCTTTCCATCGCTTGCATAGATTTATAATCTATAATCATGCCAGAGCCGACCCTGTTGTTGTGAGTGGTTAAATCAAAGTATATAGAATTTGTTGGTATTCTGTAGCAATCATTTGTGATCGAACGTGGCAGTTAAAACAGTGGATGATGATTCTTAATTAACATGTATATATTACAGTACCTC